GCTAATATCCAGAATCTACAGAGAACTAAAGCAGATTTGCAAGAAAAAAACCCATTCAAAAGTGGGTGAAGGACATGAACAGACACTTTTCAAAAGAAGACATTTATGAGGTCAACAAACATATGAAAAAATGCTCATCATCACTGATCATTAGAGAAATGCAAGTCAAAACCACATTGAGATACCATCTTACTCCAGTTAGAATGGCAATCATTAAAAAATCTGGAGACAACAGATGCTGAAGAGGATGTAGAGAAATAGGAACACTTTTATACTGTTGGTGGGAGTGTAAATTAGTTCAACCATTGTGGGAGACAGTGTGGTGATTCCTCAAGGATCCAAAAGTAGAAATACCATTTGACCTAGCAATCCCATTACTGGGTATACGCCCAAAGGATTATAAATCATTCTATTATAAAGACACATGCACATGTATGTTCACTGCAGCACTGTTTACAATAGCAAAGACTTGGAACTAACTCAAATGCCCATCAATGATAGACTGGATAAAGAAAATGTGGCATGTATATACCATGGAATACCATAAAAAAGGATGAGTTCATGTCCTTTGCAGGGACATGGATAAAGCTGGAAATCATCATTCTCAGCAAACTGACACAAGAACAGAAAATCCAATACTGCATGTTCTCACTGATAAGTGAGTGTTGAACAATGAGAAAACATGGACACAGGGAGGGGAACATCACACACTGGGGCCTGTTAGCGGGTGGGAGATCTAGGGGAGGGATAGCTGGGGCTGGGAGGTTTGGGGATAGATAATATTAGGAGAAATATCTAATGTAGGTGATGGGGGATGGATGCAGTAAACCACCATGGCATGTGTACAACTGTGTAACAATCCTGCATGACCTGCACATGTACCCCAGAACTTAAAGTATAATAAAAAAGAAAAAAAAAATAGGGAGAAAAAAAAGAAAGTGTTAATCAAGTCCTAGGTTAAAATGCTGAGAAAATCTATATGAGTAGCTTTTTGAAAAAAAAAAAAAGAAAAATGAAAAAAGATAAAGAAAAGAAAGAAAAAAAAGTGCTGAGAAAAATTGACCCAGGTAAGGTCTGATGATATTACTGCATATAGAAATAGTTGTTGGAATAAGATGAAAATAGAGGATATAAAATCTTGTAAAATGCATTTAAAGCTATTTTTATGAGAAAAAAATGGTATCTTTGACTGCATGTTATAAAAAGAATCAAAAGAAATAATCTGAGCATACAGTTCACAATGCCCTAAAAAGTTAAAAGGTGAAAACAAATTAAGCTTAAAGATAACAGCAAGAAATATAAAAAAGAAGATTAATGAAATAAATTACTATACAATAAAGAGAATTAAAAATTGGTTATTTGAAATAAATAAAATTAATAATTTATAGTAAGACAAAGTAAAAATAGAGAAAGTATAAAATTTCAATGACAAATTTTAAAAAGGGGACATATTAGAGTTATTACAGATCCTAAACAGATAAGAGGGTATTATGAATAAATTTGTGCAGTAAAATTAACGGGAAATTGGTGTATACATACATTTCTCTTGAGTACAAGAAAAATGAAATAACAAAGTAGGTAAAGCAATTGCAGAGGAAGGGTATTAACCATTCAGTCTTTCAGTATTGTTCTAGGTACTAGGCATACAAAAATTAAAACAGAGGAAAAAAGTCAGAAAGAAAAAAGAAAACTCTAGTGTCATGGAGTTAAATTCTATTGTATAAGATCATTTTAAACAATTTCAAATTTTACTTCAAATATTTATGCAAAATAGTTTCTCATCTGGTTTTCCATTTATTTTGTATCCATGATTAAGTATTTTTTTAAAAAGTTGTCTGCATATGATTTCTCCTGCATACTCTTGAAAGAATAGCTAAAACTTATCTGTTTTGCTAGTGTCTTCTAAGTAATCAGCAGATGGTTCTATTTATTATCATTATGATTTGTCTCATTCTACTTAAGTTTGTCTTGTTGTTCTTTAGTCTGACTTCTTAGTAATACCTAACTGATATATACCATTCATTAGTTATAATCTCATTAAAAAAGAAATGATTATAAAAAATGATCAAAGAGTTGCTTACTTGAAAATGTAAAAACACATTCATAGATCAGGTTTGTATCAAAGAAGTATGCAAAACTGAGGTTAGAAACTACCTAGAAAGCCACAAACGGAGAAACAACTTATAGCAAAACATGCGAGCCAAAGCAGTACTCATTAAAAAAAAAAAAAAGCATTGAAAACAAAGCTGTCATATAAACACAAAGATGTTCAAAAGAATTAACACTCATCCAAAGAAATTTAAAAAGGAACAAGCCAAAATAATACAGGTAATGAAATTAAATCAAGATAGCTAACACTGATACATATTATATATCGTTAATTAAAATGTGAGCAAAGGTTACTCTTGAAAATGTAAAATAATAAGGTTGTTTTGGAAACCAATATAGCAATACTAGAAACATTAAAAACAGATCTGTACTTCAACTCAACCATCTCACTATGGAGAATTTATCCATGGTATCCCTTGTGGGAAAAAAAATAGAAAAAGTGTGTGCATATGTGTGTATATATGTAAAATTAAATTATATTTTGTTTAGTGCTCTATCAGGGATCAAAGATTTCTCTTGTATTTTTCTGCTACTCAAATATGAAGACTTTTTTTTTTTTTTTTTTTTTTTTTTTTTTTTT